TATCACTTTGCATTATTTTCAATGTCTTAGAATAATATTGGAAATGTGCCTACATCATTTAGAAGAATAATTTTTTTTAAAGATCTCTGAAACTTCTTCTCTCATGATTTAAAATAGCAATTGTCTGGGGCAACTGGTTGTGTAGTAGATAGAGCCCCAGGTCTTGGAGTCAGGAGGTCCTGAATTCAAATCCAGCCTCAGACACTTGATACTTATTAGCTGTGGGATCATGGGCAAGTCACTTAACTCCAATTGCCTCACCAAAAATAAATAAATAAAATAAATGAAAAAAAACCCCAGCAATTGTCTTTCTAATGTTCCTCTTTATAATCTAGCCAGACTAAAGCTTTCCAGAAAGTCATATAGTAAATCAAATGGAAAGCCACTACTGGTTGTACTTTGTTGACTCCTATATAGGAGGTGAGTTCCCATTTTACGTATATCAAATCTTGAAGAAATATGTTGGAAAAAAAGTGATTTGTATTAATATGATATTCAATTATTCTAATCTTGCATTTGGAGACTGAAAACTTAGTTTTCTATTCCTGTATAAAAGTTATAGTTTCTATTTTGTGCTCTCTCTCCTAGACACAATTTAAGCATGACTATTCTGAGATTTTATTTATTTTAAGCCCACAAGCTTGAGGGTGGGGATAGGAAAGAGGAAACTAACTAAAGAATGGGGACTTATTCACAAAAATCACTATACTTGGGTTTTTTAAACACCCACAGATACCACAGACTACTGAAGGATTTCCTTAAGTGAATTTTAAGATAAGAAAAAATGTGTCTTTGACTAGCTTTTCAGTATTAAATGAAGTTTCTCTCTAGGGACCAACCTATGCTTTCTCTTATTAGAATGACTTTTTTTTTTTTCAAGAACTGACCACACCAACAATTTCTGGCAAACACAGAGATACTTTTCTTCAGTTAACATATTTCTTTTCAATTTGTTGCTTTGCTTTTGATACTGTTGCTCTTTAGTCCCTGCTAAAAGTTTGTATGTCCAATTCTAAGGACCAATTGTTTATCAGTCTCCTAAGAGGCAAGTTACTGATTCAGTATTAAAAATATATTTATTGTGTCCTTTCTAACAGGCCATGCACCCAATTTGATAATAGTGGAGATAAGACATATTCGCTGCCCTCCTAGAGGTCACAGTCTAACAGAAAGCTATTCAAATAAGTAGCCATAATGAACAACAATACATGATAAGTATGTTAGAGGGGAGCGAGGCAATATTATGTTGAGTCTAAGGATCAAAAGAGCCTAAAACTTTATAAATGCTTATACCCTCCTTTCTTTTCCCTAAGGGGGAAAAGGTTTTTATCAACACAGCAAAGATCAGGGAAGTTAGGTTTTAAAGAACTGATAGGAATTGGGGGAAGGAGGAAAGGGAAATTCTAAGAAAGGGAACAGTGTGAACAAAAGCATAGAGAAGAAAAGCAGAAATTATGTTTGGCCGACATTCGTCATTTAATTTTATTGGGGTACAGAAGAAAAGGTTGGAGAGGTAGGGGGGGATGTGTCAGATTGAAGGACTTTTACACATGAAAATGCAATGTTTACCCTTAGATAAGGCCTAAGTAAGATGTATGTAAAGTTTTTATTAGAAGATTCATTGTCACTCTGAGACAGAGGTTCTTAACCTAGGTTCTGTGAACTTTTAAAAAATATTAATATTATTAAATAGTAAATAGTTGATATTTATTAAATATTTAATATTAATAATAGCAAATAATATATTATTTTCCCCCAATTACATGTAATAATAATTAACATTATTTTTAAATTTTGAGTTTCAAATTCTCTCACTTCCTCTGTCCCCCTACCCCACTTCCTCATATGGTAAGCAGTCTGATATAGGTTATACATGTGCAATCATATAAAACATATTTCTATATTAGTCATTTTGTGGAAGAAAAGTAGAATAGAAAGTAAGAAATGAAAAAAGGAAGGAAGGAAGGAAGAAAAAAGAAAAAAAGAGAAAGAAAGAAAGAAAGAGAAAAATAGTATGTCTGTCTGTATTTGGACTCCAGTTCTTTCTCTGGAGGATAGCATTTTTCATCATGTATCCTTTGAAATTGTCTTGAATCACTGTATTACTGAGAATAGCGAAGTCATTCACAGTTGAATATCATACAATATTGCTGTTACTGTGTACAATGTTCTCTTGGTTCTGCTCAATTCAATCTGCATCAATTTATGTAAGTCTGTCCAGATTTTTCTAAAAGCATCCTGCTGATCATTTCTTATAGCACAATACTATTCCATTATAATCATATACCACAACTTGTTCAGCCATTCCTCAATTGATGGGCATCCCCCCAATTTCCAATTTTGAGCTACCACAAAAAGAGCTGTTGTAAATCCCCTTATACAAAAAGGTCCATTTCCCTTCTTTTTTAAATTTTTTTGGGATACAGACCATACATAGTGTATTTGGGATACAGTGGTTATACAGGATCAAAGAGAATATAAGTTTTATAGCCCTTTGGGCATATGAACTTGGCTTTTAAAGAAGATATTGTTACTACTATATTTCAATAAAATTGGTTTCCTTTGTAATCTTAAGTATTTTGTTTTATGCATTAAAAATATTCACCTGAGAAGGGGTCTATAACACAAAAATGCTTAACTGCCACTGTTTTAAGGAGACCTACCAATTAATGTTCAACTTAATAAATGTTTATTAAGTTTACTTATATAATTATGAAAATTATATATATATATTTATATATGTATCCAATTAAGCTTAATAATATTATAATGTTTCTCTTTTCTCTCTGCTTAATTCTTCCTCACACATCAGAATCAAGGGGGTAGATCATTAAGGATAATATGTTTTACGTTGGAAGGCAAGGGTGGGCAGTGGAGAGGTGATAAGAATAGCTTCTCACTGTCTGTCCCACCTTAAGCTCAGGAAAGGAAGTTTTACATTTATCTTGTTCTCTGTCTTGCACTACTAGAAAAGCCATTTAAAATAAAATACTCAATTTCCATTTCCCTTTGGCCTATATCCCAAGAGCAATGTGAGCCAGACCCAAAGCAAACCTTTGAAGAAGGAAGGCAGCTCAGTTCAGCCTAGAATAGGGACTGGGAGGCAATATTCAAACAGGATTAGAAGGGGAATCTAATCTACATTTTTTTTTCAAAACTCAAAGAGTCCATATTAAAGAAATGAACTTTATCCCACTACTTCCAGCAATGTTAGTCTTCCAGGAACAAACTAAAAATAATAAAAGTGAAGTAACAAAATATACCATAAGCTTTCTGTAAAAGATTAAAGACAAATTACACTTTCACCCACAAAAGCATATTACTGAATTACTGTCTTCAACATAAGCAATAGGCAAAGGAGAAATAGATCTTCAACATGACTGAATTTTATTACCATAGACAACTATGCTGGAAAACATTGCAACATCACAATAGAACTAGTTATTTCTATTTTCAATTTCTAAAGAATTTCTTTATATGATATGAAATTTAAATAGACTGATATGACCCATAATAAATACATTGTGTCTTGTAAAAACAGCATTTGAAATGTTCTTTCATTTTAATATTCAGAATAATTCATGTTCATAGGAACAAAGAAAATATTTTTAGATATTTTATAGAACTGAATATAAAAGAGCATCTTCAAAGAGATCTATGGTAACTTAAGAAAGCAGGATAGTTTTATACATATATATGTATATGTATGTGTATGTATTTATATATGTGTGTGTGTGTGTGTGTGTATTTGTGCATATATCTATGTATAGGGAAAGTCAAATGAAGAATTGTTTATTATCCAGGCAAGTGGTGTCAAACTCAAATAAAAATTAATCCCTGAGGCCCATATATTGACTTAGAAAACCTCAAATTAGCAGCCTTTCTTGAACCCTATAGCTTTTCTAACTCTCTTTAAATTTACTTATATATTTTCTCTTATATTTACTTAACTCTATAAATACTGTATCTAATTTCCTTGAATACAGGAACTACTCCATTTTTTTGTCTGAATTTCAGACTCAGAAGAGTGCTTTCCATATAAAAAGTACTTAACAGATTCAGAATAAATAAATCAGGAAAGTCACAAAACAAGGTCCTGATGTATTCTTCATATTAAGTCTAATTTTTCTGAGCTACCTGTGTCACCATAGGGTCATCTCTTAACTTTCTTCAGCTCTATCCTTTAACTTTTTTTTTTTGCACCTTTAAGATAAGCAGATTGGAGTAGATAATATTTAAATTTCACTCTAAATGATTTAAATGATATGAAATGATGATTTAAAAAATAAAACAAAAATTCCATACTTAGTAAGTGTTTGAATTAAAAGTGGGCAGACTCTAATATAGATAAAAATACTTTCTCAGAAATTAGTTTCTATGTAGCTCATTTCCCACTCTTCACTTTTAATCACAGTCAAGTGAAACCCTTTCTAGTGAAACTTATTACCCAAACCACAAAACCTATGCCACGTACAGCAACCAACATCAAATTACATGAATTTTAAATCAAATACTAATCCAAACCCCACTTACAGCTAACTGTAGTTGCAAGTTAAAAACCAACCTGCACAATAGAGCTGCCATTGATACAATTTGGAAAAAAATAACTCTTAAAATGTGTTTTAAGCATTGAAGAGGTCTTGTGCTATATGTGTGTTTGCATTTCTACAAGTATATGTGTGTGTACTTTAAAAACTTACTAGCTTAACTCAGACCATATGAGTTCAAAAAATAGGCTTAGTGTTCATATTATAAACACTGGTAATGTCACTGTGCCAAATAGATCTTAAAACTGCCAATCATTTATACTAAACTCTCACTCTACACATTTTTTGAAGACATAAAAAACATGTATTTCCTCAAAATAATTTAGAATTTTAAAAGAATTATTTGACCTTTGTGTACTTTTTTGCACCTTAAATGTGAAGCTCAGAGAAGCACTAGATAATTCTTATTCATTGTTCTTATTAAAATTTAAATGTACAACTGTTAATACTCACCACCCAAATTCATTCCAGCTTGTAGACATTTCTGAAGTCTGCAGGCAGGACAATTCTTCCTTCGGATTTTGTCAATAATACAATCATTTCTTCCAGCACATAAGTAATTGTGTTGCCCTGAATCAAGGAAAAAAAAAGATCATGAAAATAAATTTTTAAAATTTCCATTAAGTAAACTGAAAATATGTGATTCTCATTTTTAATCAGAAATCAGCTCAATTCAATTCAAATTGTAAAAACTCCTTTTCATTAGATATTATCTCAATTCCTGAAAACTCTTTCTAAAATAAGTAGAAGTAACAATATAAGGATGGTCCTCTTCACCCATAATGTGATCTCCAACGCAGCTTTGGTAACCCAATGGCTAGGGTATTAGTCCTGGAGATAGGAAGAACTGAGTTCAAATCCAGGCTCAGACACTTATTAGCTCTATAATCCTGGGCAAGGTCTCCTACCTGCTTCAGTTTCCCCATCTATAAAATGTAGATAATAATAACCTACCTTCAATGGTAGTAGTATGGATAAAGAGATGTTATCTGTAAAGTGCTTTGCAAACTTTAAAGCACTATAAAAATTCTGTCTATCATCATTATTATTATTAATGTATTTTAACAACCATAATAGTATGATATGGACATAAGAGATTTCAACCTTTTCAGTTTTTAATGATAATGTAAGTATCAATGATTCTTAAGCATTATAGTAACTCAGATATAGATGACACCTAGAACCTCAAAGTTGGACTTGTAGGAAAGCTGCATTGACTCTTTCAGGTCACCACAAAATATTTATTCAGATTCTCTAACAACATAAAATAAAGGTCCAAATGTATTACATAAAACTGTATGTGTATCCATTTTATGCAAATATTTTACAAAATTCTAAATTTGTGGAACTGAGACTCAACATGGTACAGCAGAATGAAGAGTGGGTTGGTAATCAGAAGACATAGGTTCAAACTCTCACTCTATAACCTATTAACCTGTCTGGGTTTCAGTTTCCTCATCTAACAGGAAGCAGTATTGCCAGGTAAGTCAAACCAACACTTCCACCTTGACCATCATCTCCCTTGAGATCCTAATGGGCACCACCCAGGAAGGTAAACCCAAAAGCCTTGGGAATAGTAATGCTTCCACTCCTGTGCATGAGTCTATCATCCTGGCAAGCCATCCCGAAGGAGATGCAGCCAGGCAAACTGCAGGTGCCACAGCCACGGTTACTAAAGAACCAGAAAGGAAAGGTCTTGCCACCAAAGTCCTTGACTCTCTTAAATAGTTAAACATCAGAAAATTATATTTTATTGAACATTAAAGAAAATCTATTAACATCTGCTTTGCCACTGTACCCTAAGGACCATAGGACTTTTCCATCTGACTTACAGCTGAAACTTTCCATGTGTTGTGATCTTCCCATTAGAATGTATTTCAGAGGATCTATAGGTCCAAATAGGATAACATGTAAAATTTTAAGACAGTTGTATTAAGTATTGTAAATACCTCTTATAAAACGAAGAACTAAGCCACAGAAGCTACAAGAACTGAATTAAGGGGTCTAAAGTTTAAAAGAAAAAAAAGCACAGAATTTTAGAGTTGGCAGACCTCAGGACTGCTCTCTGCATCTATATAGAACAAGTTTTAATCCTTCAGCTTTTCAAATATGTGTGCCCCTTAAATCTTCATTTTTACAGGTTAAACATTCCCAGTACTTTCAAGTGATATGGTTACAAGTCTCCTTATTCTGTTGTTATTTTTTTGGACCTGTCACCATTAAAATGTGACATTCTGCTAAATGAGATACTCTAAAATATGATTAGAATGGGTTTATCACCCCACTGACTTTTCTGGTAGTCTGATCATCCTGTTGATTTCTATTGAGTTTGCAATCAACTATGTTTTCTTATGAACTGCTCTCTAACTAGATTTTTGCTTGGGTTTTTTATTTATGCCTATTGCATGTGACTCTTAGATTTAGATGGTTTTCACCCAGCAAGATCTAAAGGGACAAGTGAATGAATGAGAAAGCATTTATTCCTTCCCCATGCTGCACTGCTGACTCATCTCCACAGGACTGTCTTTACCATGCCCTGCCTTCTACCTTCATCCTACTCCCCTTTTCAGTTCACTTTTATGTATTATCTTCCCTCACTAGAAAGTAAGCTCCCTGAAGGCAAGGACTATCTTTCTTTTTTCTTGTATTTGCATTCCTAGTGCTTAGCACAGTGCCTGCACATAGTATACATTTAATAAATGCTTCCTGACTTGTCTAGATTTATTAAGCCCCTACTATGTACCAGGCACATAGTGCTAGGTATATAAATACAAAAGTGAGACAGTCCCTGACCTCAAGAAGCTTACATTCTAAGAGGGGGAGACAACACATATAGGGGACTGGTGACCAGGGAGATTTGGTTTGGGAACATTTATGGAAATGAATCTATAGAGCAGTCAAAAATGACATCTTTTACAGAATAGATATCAGTACTGAGAAGTTTCTTAGAGGTGGAAGCATGTAGAGAAATGTGGGGGGAGGGGAAGGATGGTAGGGCAAGATACTCCTATCCTCAAGATCCTCACCCTGTTATCCTTCAAAATCTACCCCACTGCCTTCCAAGGCTGTTAGTTTATTCTCTTCCTCAAATGAGAAGAACTACAAATCCCAGAGGGCTGTGTGGCCAATGCAAGATTCTAGTGATACACTTAGAAAGCCTACCACAGTATGAAGATCAATCATTTTATTGCTTCATTAAAGCAAAAATGTGAAAATAGTGATATATGTACATATATGTAGTGATATAATGATTTTGATAAAGTTTGATAAAGTTGATAAAGTTCTACTGATCTATACATACTCTGATTTCTTCCTCTATTAGACCAAATAGACCATATCTATGAGACAAATAAGGGTGAGGGATGCCATTTGTCAATATGGAATAAAGTAGAGCTAACTGACATGCAGAGGGGCTGAATCTATAATCAAAGCCTCATTAGCAATTTTTTCATCCAGGCAATGGAACTCACCAGTTCACCTCTGTTGCATAAGAATCTTTCAGTGTAATGGTGATGGGGCTGTAATAGGATTCTACCTGTATTACATTTCACTTTTTTCACCCAATACTATTGCCAAAAACCAAAAGAGATGGCTCATGAGTTTCTGATGACTGACAGATGATAGCTGATGATTCTATAGTCTTTTAAGGTATAATACTAGACTGGGCTCAACACCTAAAATGATTATTTGACTTCTAGTTTCTGTTAATTATCTTCCACACAACTGTAGTACTTCAGATAGTATTAGGTACACTAAAGTCATGCTAAAAAGTGGAAAGAATGCTACATTTAGGGTTAGAAGACTTAGGATTGAGTCCTTTTCATGTTGCTGTTCAGTCATGTCCAACTCTTTGTGACTCCATTTGGGGTTTTCTTGGCAAAGACACTGGAGTGGTTTGCCATTTCCTGTTTCTGTACCCTTGATTAAATCTTTTAAGCTAAGTTTCAGTTTTCTCATCTATAAAATTATATACCAGCACTACCTTCCTCACAGAGTTGTTATGAGGATCAAATGACATAATCAATCAATCAATAAGCATTTATTAAGCACCTACTATATGCCAGTCACTCTGTAGGCTCTGGGGATACACAGAGAATGAAACAATACATACTTTCAAGGAATTCACACTCTATCAGAGAAGAGAATATGCACATATATAAGTATATTCAGAATAACTACAAGGTAGTTAAAGAAGGAAGGACACTAGCAGTTGGCAAGATCAGTAAGGGTTTCCTGAAGAAGCTCAAGGGGCTTATAAAAGAAGGAATTGTCTCAGCTTTGAGAATCAGCTGTGGAGAAAGGACTCAGCTCTTGAGTACTTGTGCCTCACGGGAGAAATTCCTTCCTATCCCCAGCTCCATCCCTGCAAATGCTGTCCAGTGGAGAAGTACATGACTGTAGGAAATGTGACTGAACTCATTCTGAAGGAGAAAAAAAGTTCAAGTACATTGCCACCTGAACCTCAACCTCCTGGGCTGAGAAATTCAAGAGGAGAAAGACAGCTTGACAACTAGATTTAGGATTCTGCTGCTTGGGAGATGGTAGACCTAAGAATAAAGATCTCTTCTGGTTCTCCCACCTATCAAACTACTCTTCTCAAGTCTCCTTTGCTAGATCCTCATCTAGGTCACAGCCTAAGTCCCCAAAATGTTCTGTCCTGGATGCTCATCAGCTCTGCAGGATTTAATTATCATCTCTATGCTGATGACTTTCAAACCTACCTATCCTGCCCTACTCTCTCTCCTGACCTCTAGGCTCATATCTTCAACAGTTTTTCAGAAATCCCAAACTGGATGTTCAACAGACATCCTTCAATCAATATGTCTAATACAGAATTCATTAGCTTTTCCCCTAAAAACTCCCCTGCTCCTAATTTTCCTTATTGCTATTGAGGATGCCATCATCTTCCCAGTTCCCCGGATTTGCAACCTAGATGTCATCTTGGATTCCTCACTGTCTCTCAATCCCACCTCCTCACCCCCATATTCAGTCTGTTGCCAAGACCTGAGGATTTCATCTTGAAACATCTTTCAAATATATTTCCTTTTCTCCTCTGATTTACTTCATACCTGGACTATTGCAATAGCCTGCTGGCGTGGGGGGTGGAGGTGGGTCCTACCCACCTAAGTCTCTTTCCACTCCAACAGATCCTCCATTCAGCAACCAAGGAGACTGTCTTAAAGTACAGGTCTGATCATGCCACACCTCTACTCAATAAACTCCAGTGACAACCAAACAGCTCCAGAATAAAATACAAAATCCTCTGCTTGATAATCAAAGTCCTTCATAAGCCAAGCCTCCTCCCACCTTTCTAGTCTTCTTACAGTTTACTCCTCCCCACCAGGTACTCTCTGATTTAGTGACACTGGCCTCCTGGCTGTTCCACAAACAAGACACTCCATCTCTCAGCTCTGGGCATTTTCTCAGGCTATCCCCAAGGCCTGCAATGCTCTCCCTGCTCTGCTCTGACTACTGACCTCCCTGGCTTCCTTTCACTCCCAATGAAAATCCCACCTTTGACAGGAAGCCTTTTCCAACCTTTCTTAATTCAGGTGCCTTCCCTCTATTAT